AATCTTGGTTAGCCAGGCAAGAAGGTTAATCTGTCTGCTCTGTAAAGGACTGTGCCTAAAAATTTGCTTGGCATCTTTCTTGGTAGGTCAAAAGCTAAATCCCGTGAGTGGTAATAGATGCAGAACAGGCTGACTAGCAGCTAGACATTGGCTAGTCATCGAAGGAAACCGGCTTAAGCAGAATGGCCAAATAGCTGCTATGTGCTCAATGATCACATGAATAGACACAAAGATACATCAGAGCATTTGGAGGGAGAATCAGAGCAAAAAAAGCAGTGTAATGCATCTTTACCATTTTAGTTACTAGTGCAACATGTTCATAAGCAACAAGGCTATAATTATGACCAACAAATTTGTTTTAATTAAATACGACAAAAGGACCCAAACTCTATAGAACCTTTGTGCTAGAAAAAAATTGTCAGATTAAAGCCACCACCTGTGTTCTAGCACAGTCAGCCCTGGAAAAACAGGGAGTTGGAGTTTCTCGATCTAAGATACAATGTATTCTTGGTCAACTCAAGAGAATATGGTGTAGGCACATGATGCAGTTCTAATGCTGAAGCAAAGCAGACCAGGTCCTTTATATACTGTTTAGAAGGGACACTCACTGGGAACTAAGTATAAGCTATACTTCACACCTCATAGTGCACAAGTTTAACATCCATAGGGCCAAAATATTTCACACACAATTATTAAATGTGGTCATCAGTTGCATATTGTAGCTGGAAACTGTGTTGGTTCAAATTGGACCCAGAATGGGAGTGTGGGAAGGCCTGCAGGAAGCCATAGATTCAAAATGCTATTTTGCAGGATAAAGATGTCCTGATCTCCCTGAATTTTGTCTAATGATAAAATATGGCTTCCCTTCTCTCCCCCATTTTATGGACTGCATTTGATATTCACTATCAAATGGATAAAGAACAGCATTTTGGCACTGTGATCTTCTGGAGGCCTTTCATATTCACATTTCAGAGGCATTTTGAGAGTGATCTATATGCACTATCAGAATATTGTGGCAGAGTGTCTTTCAGGTGACTTGCTAATTTCTAACCTATAAAACATCCACCTGAAATATGGAGCAAGTAGCTAGAGATCATATATTTTTGCAGTATAGGTTGTACACTATAAGAAGAAGCAAGGGCATTATAAGTAAATGAATAAACAATTTCATGTTTCTAAGATAATCTTCTTTTTCCAGTGGGTCGAGTTTGTCCTCTTTGCTGTTCTCCTCTTCATTGTGTTCGTCATTTTCTCCATCATGGGATTTTTCTACACTAGTGTGGATCCAGAAGAACTCATTCCCAAAGAGGAGAAAGAAGAGTTATCAAGCAGTAAGAATATGATAGACCTTGTTATCAAGAAAAGTGAACTTTAAGGTGGCTGTGGACACTGAAATGGGTTTTTCTGGCCTTATTGTTTTGAAAAGATGTTGAGAAAATGGATTTGTTTTCAGGTTGGCATTCTGAAAAATCTGCCATATTGTCGGTTAACTCTTTCCCCTAGAAAGTCAGCTGAATAAAAGTACACAAATTCTTGAGGATGGCATCATTAACAATGTATGCAGTGTCTCTGTAAAAAGTAACTTTACAGTACTCAGACATGAGTACAGTGAGACTTTAGTGAGGAGGTGACCATATATTAAGGTTTTGTAAACAATGGCAGATTTATTTAGAAAGCTTTACAGAAATGAGAAACTTGCTGAAAAACAAGAGCTAAAGTCAATGTTAATCCTACTTAGAGTAAATCTGTTGAAATGAATGGAAGTTACACTGTAACTAATCAATCTCATTAATTTCATTGGGTTCACTATAAGTAGGTAGAACTAACAGTGGATTTAACTCAATATTAATATAATCACAAACTAAAAAAAGTTTGAGTTTATACCAACTATAAAAACTGTTTGAGCCTAGGAAATATTTTTCAGTAAATCTACTGGTTCTTAAATGACTTTTGAGCTTGGAAGTTATCCCCCAATTGGCCATATTTCCATGCTGTTACAGACAGACAAAAGTCATAGACCATAATCCAGAGGGATAGATGATACATTGCATACTTCCTTCCACATGCTCCAGGAGTTTGTCTCTCTCAGAGAAGAATTTCCTCATGGAAACTCAAAACTGATTTAAGGGGGGAAAAAACCTCTCCCAAAATAGGCAGTTACCACTTGTATTTCTGTATGATGTTGACACCAGTATGCTCTCATACTATTTTCTCCAATATTTCCTCTAAATGGATTCTATGCTATGCTCAAGGAAAACATTAATGGACACACATATCTCTGGATTGTGGCCTGAGACAAGAGCTCAAAACAATAAAAAGAACTCCCTCCTCCTTGGATAGCATCATTTCAGAATCCAGACAGGGAAGCTAAATACTGTATTTCATTACTATCCCAACCAGACATTATTTGCACTTACTAATTGCGATATCAAGCAGACTAGATAAGCTCTTAGGCTAACATTTCAAAGGCAGGGGACTCTCCTAACTCTGAACTGGGGGGCATGGTCACCCAAGTTTTGTTGGACTGCTTTCCCATTAACCGTAGCCAGCAAAAGCAGTGGTGAGGGATAATGGGTGTTGCAGTTCTACAAGACATGGATAGCCTCAAACTGCTCAGCCTTGCCCTACCTGCAGATCTCTGAGCTCAGATAATTCTGGGGAGGCTATACCTCATTCTGTTTCTGAGTGTGTACAAATGAATCCATCTTTTTGCAAGGCAAATTGTCCCACAGGATAATCACCCACTGGGGCAGAAGCAATTAAGATGGGTGGGCAAGGGTGGCCTTTTAGATGTTTTTATACTATAACACCAGTAATCCCTCCCTTAGCACTGCTGACTAAGAGTAATGAGTACTGTATAGTAAAAAAAAATTCAACTACAGTTACCTCTGACTTAAGACTTTCCAGCTGGTCTAGAACAGTGGCTTCAGAGGATGTTTGTGAACTTAGTCAAAGACATTTGTATTATCCTTAATATAACATTAATGAGTAAACTGACTTCAGGGGTACTTTGATTTCATATTGTCTCACTGTAGCATGAAACAGAGAGTCTATGCTGAAACATATCTGAAACAAGATTATAAATGCCTGGCTTCTCCAGATGGTGTTGGACTACATCTCCCATCCATGATCATTGACTGGGCTGGCTGAGGTCCATAGGAGTTGTAGTCCAAATATATCTGCAGTCTCAGAGGTTTCCCAGACTTGCTGTAAAACATGACAGATTTCCCAGAAAGAAAATATTACACATAAAGAAGTGCAAACTTCATATAATTTTACATTTGTCTATTTCACTTAATTTTCTCAAGATGGCTCTCATAAACACTTTTGACTTGGAGTAGAAAGACTTAGATTCACATCCACTGCCAGACAATGGAGCTAACTGGATCAATTTGAATCTCTCATTTAGCACACAAGAATGTTGTGAGGATAAGCTCTGGGATAGGTTGCTGTATGAGAAAAGTCAGACAGCAAATGTAACAGAACAATCAAAGTGATGTTGAAGTGATCCACAACCAATAGTCTATAGACCATGGTGATTATGTGGAAGCTGAGTTATAATATGTTGAACTGATTTCAATGGGAACTTTCACATAATATCCTTGGCCACAGCTTTGTGTATTCTCTGATGCATACACAAAGGATTTGCTTTTGCTGGAATTCCCATTCATTCATTTCAGTGGGAATACATAATAAGCATGTGCATCTTTGGAGGCATATAAATTGGATCTAAACTGTGAATTTCCTGTGTACTAGGCTATCTAGAGAACGTGTCCCTATAAACTATAAGGCCCATAAATAATTGTGGGACCAGGCAGTGGCATCCCTAAGGTTGGGCATGCCTTTCACACCCAGTGTGGTAACTCATGGTGTCACACACACCCCTTTGACCTCCTTCCATTTCACACCATACAGAATCCTTAGTAATGCTTTTTTGCATTAATGTTACTCATCAATTGTAATTCCCATATACCACTGAATGCCATGCTAATAGTTGTGACATAAACAACCAGCAAAATTAAAATTGTACCTTCAAATTACAATATCATAAGCATGACCTAAATATTTTTACATATACATAGTAGTGATTTGGTTAAAATGTGATTTTTTAAAAGAAAAATTGAAAAAAATTACAAATTAAAAATTTCAAAAACATTCAAAATCTTGGGTGCCTCTCCCTTTTCCCACTGAGCTTCACCCACTCCCACCATCTCTTAAAGCATTTTAAAGGGAAGCAGATGAATGTCACAGCCCATTTCTGCCAAAAAGTAGTTATTTGAGGAGCAATGGTGTCACACACCCCTTAGGGTGTCACCTGGTGCAGTCCGCACCCCCCTAGTGGCCACTGGGACCAGGTCATGTAAAAGTTGGGCTTAAAACTCTAAAGATGTATTTTCTGATCTCTTTCTGTTCTTCAGGCTCAGAGGAGAGCAGATAAGAACATAAATGATGTCTTTTTCTCTTATATGAGAATGAATCAGGAATACATCTATTTCTTTGCAAAAACCTCCAAGTGCAACTTTCAGCAATGCAGTAATATGCCGGTAATTGTCCAATTTCTCAGCTTGTAACAAGCCATTTTGCCATTTTGTTCTTGAAAGATATAGCCTCATAATGAGTGGCCCAGCTCTAATATTTATCCTAGGTGGGTGAGAGTTTGCTTGTTATAGATATCCTCATGGTTAGGAAAGGCATACTGCAACCTGGATAAATTGCCATGGCATTGTCTAATGAGAATTCTAGTGAAATGAGATTTAAAAATAAAACAGCCACAACCTGTGGGAATTCACCTGCTGGATTGTCTCATATTTCACACTGTCACTTCTGAGATGTTTGTCCTAAGGGTATTTATTCACAATGCAGAGATCCTCACATTGTGGCTGAAACTGCATTTGCAGTGAGGCTCAGGAAATTTTGGAGAGACAGGCAGGCAGAGACCTTAGAATGCAGAAAGGTGTGCTTCTACACTACAGTTATCTTCAGTTTGCGGGATGGTAAGAGCCAGTGTGGTGTAGTGGTTTGTGCATTGGACTAAGACTCTGGAGAGCAGAGTTCGAATCCCTGCTCAGCCATACAAACCCACTCGATCACACACACACACACACACACACACACACACACACACACACACACACACACACACACACAGAGTAATGAAAAATCATATTTATAAATACATTAACTCAGGTCCTTCATGAACACTATGGAACTGATATATTCTTAGGGGATCTGCTATTCAGAGTGGCCAGCGCAAGGCCATTGTGTGAGTTGCAAATGCTAGGGACAACAGGTAAACAAACCTCAGTTGCTTTCATATATTTCCTGGTATTTTCCCTCTTGTACATCCTTGGTCCATAGCACAGTGGGGCAGCTCTGGCTAAATATAAGAGATGACTTGATATAAAGGGACATTATTTCTTTCCAGACACAGACAAAGCAAAATGTGCCTGTAATTCAAGGATTATAATAACGTTGGACTATGCTTTGCATGAGAGCAATACAGAGGGCAATAACGTAAGAGGGGAGCTAGGATATTCTTTTCAGTGAGGTCAGTTTCTTGAGATGTTGGTTCAGAAAGTAATGTTCTATATGAATTAGCCCAACAACACTGAAACATTATTTGTTTTTCATCTCTTTCTGTTTAATATTCAGGGATTGCTAAGAACATTCTTCAAGAAATATGTTCGTTTTCCCTAAATTCTATTTTATGATACATTGCAGATTAGTTCTGCAATAGCTAAATTGGATGATTCCTGAGCTGCTTCCAAATTGAACCACAAACAGAAAATAGGCCTCTTACTCTTCCCAAATCCTATGCCTGAAGGAACAGATGAGTTCCAGCACTGAGAAGCACAAGCATACATGGTTTTAAATTACTAGAACATTAATTTTTTTTATAAACCTTCCATTTGGCTTTTGGAACACAGGTGGCATCCAGTGAATAAAAAAAATATTGGGAACTTTTCTTTTGTCATGAAATTATCAGTCTACTAAGAATTTATAATTTTTATCTGCAGAAGCAATGCTACTTGTACAATGAGATATTCTTTAAAACAACAGACTTTACAAAAGGGTTTTCTTTTAAAAAACAAAACCCCAAACAACCAAAAAACAAGGGGGTTGACTGGGGTTGTTGTTTTCATCCTCAAAGCTTTAGTTAAAGGAGTCCTGTTGCAAGAGCATAACAAATATTTTTCTGTACAACATAAATCTTTATTTTCAGTTCACTTTGCCAGATACACAGAGTGATAAAATGTGGTAGATGTGGAAATGATAACCCTCCTTTGCCAATAAGAGTAGTTCCCTCCTGGCAATAACACACACAATTACAACCATGAAGCCCTTTATTCTATCTTTCCAATTTAAAATTCTGAGAACTAGATACGCAAAGTATGAGCAATTTAAGATATCATGGACCTCAGAGATCCTGGGGGGAGGAAGGAATACAGGCTGAGCTCCTGCATCAAGAGACATCTGCATATGACATAGTTCTGTCTCCCAATGTTACCACTCCAAAACCCATCTTGTAAGCAGTGCAACCTCCCCCCCCCCACAACACAACTTGACCATTTCCATGTTGTTGGAGAGTGGGGGAGTGATCAGGAGTGAGTCCAGCTATTTTCGTATAGCTGGGTTCACTGCAACAGGTCTCTACAAAGACCTCAGGGGGTCCTGGGGAGGCCCCTGCAGATAACATCCTTGCAGCATATCCAGCTACAGAAAAATAGCTGAACACATCTCCACTCATTTTCACTTGGGGGAAGGCTGCACTACTTATAAGGTGAGTTTGTGGTGGAATTTGGTCATTCCATGGGTACATCAGAAATCTAGCCTCTGCAATAATACAAAAGTGAGTTGCAATGATGTACACCATCATGATTCAGTAGCAGGATGCCAATCTACTGTTCAGGGACACAGCCCAAACTTGATTTGCCCAGGAGCCTTTTGTGGCTTCTACATTTTACTCTGTTCAACAAAGATAGTTTGTCGGGGTGGCTCACAACAATTAAAATTCCATACAATATTTACAATCCAACAAACCCAAAACCCACCCACCACTTTAAAAAGTATTAAACCAATTATCTATTAAAACATCTTAATTAAAACAACATAAAATAAATTTGAATCAGAGAACAATAATAAACTGACAAAGCTAAGCAGAGTAACGGCTACATCCAAGGTGGGAGAGGGCGGGATGAGGGGGTTCCTGAGGCTAGGAAGTCTAGTCAGGAAAGGCCTGCCAGATGAGATCCATCTTAACAGCTTTTTTAAAGAAGCTAAAGGTCTTAATCTGATGGATCTCATCTGGCAGGCTGTTCCATAGTCTGGAAGTGGTTGCCGAGAAGGCCCTCTGGAAGGTCGCAGATAGCACAGTTTTTCGGCTGCAGCAAATTCCTCCCAGAGGACCGAAGTGTACGGGGTGGATTGTATAGGAGGAGGTGGTCCTGAAGATAGGTTGGACCCAAGCCATTTAGGGCTTTAAAGGTAATAACCAACACCTTGTACTGGGCCCGGAAACTAATAGGCAGCCAGTGGAGGACTTTAGTACCGGTGTTATATGGTCTCTCCTTGATGTTCCAGAGACCAGTCTGGCTGCCATATTCTGTACTAATTGAAGTTTCTGGACCAAGCACGAGGGTAGCCCCATGTAGAGCGCATTGCAGAAATCAAAACAGGAGGTTACCAGTGCGTGCACCACAGTTTCAAGATCCTTACTTTCAGGAAAGGGCGCAGCTGGCATATCAGCAGAAGCTGATAGTAGGCGCTCCTAACCATTGCATTTACCTGATTAGACATCTGAAGTGATGAATCTAGGAGCACACCCAGACTGCGAACAGTCCTTCACGGAGAGTGTGACTCCGTCCAGGACTGGAGGTTGTATCTCTATTCCTGGTTTTGGGGCTGCTACTGTGAGCACCTCCATTTTGTCTGGATTCAATCTCAATCTGTTTTTCCTCATCCAGTCCGTTACTGCCTTAAGACAGTCATTGAGAGGAGAGATGCCATCGGGAGCCAAGGCTGATGACCGAGACATGGAGAAATAGATCTGGGTGTCATCAGCGTACTGATAACACCCCGCTCCATGTCTCTGGATGATCTCTCCAGTGGCTTCATATATATGTTAAACAGCATTGGGGACAGAATGGTGCCTTGTGGGAAACTGCATGTGAGCTCTTTTTTTTGCAGAGATACTGTCCCTGAGCAGCACTCTCTGGGATCTACCTGAGAGGAAGGAACGGAACCACTGCAAGGCGGTGCCTCCAATTTCTAACTCAGGTGATCCAAGAAGATACTATGATCTATCATATCAAAAGCTGCTGAGAGGTCATTGGCCAAGGCAACCATGGTAGTCTCAACTCTAAATCCCATCCTAAAGCCAGTTCAAAATGGATCTAGATAATCGGTTTCATCCAAGACAGCTTGGAGTTGAAGAGCAACCACCCTCTCGACTACCTTGCTCAAAAATGGTAGCAGGGAGATTGGCCTATAGTTGTTCATATCCAGGGGGTCCAGGGAAGAATTTTTCAGAAGCGGCCTAACTGCTGCTTCATTCAAACAAGATGGAATATGACCTTCCCTGAGGGGTGCATTGATGATGTCTGTGAGGAACATCCTCAATGCATCCCCCCTCTGGATGGCCAGCCATGATGGGCAAGGATCAAGAGGGCAGATCATTTTCCTCACTTTGCCAAGGAGCTTGTCCATGTCATTGGCACTCACAGATTGGAACTGATCCAGAATAATTTCATTAACGGAGTTGCTGGACACCTCTTCGGTTGATTCTGTCAAAACACTGGCATCTAAGTTGGCTCTTATCTGAGAGATTTTATCTGCAAAGAAGTTGCTAAATGCATCACAGCAGGCCGTTGTCGGGTTAAGTAATGGGTTCTGTGCAGGTAATAATAATAATAATAATAATAATAATAATAATAATAATAATTTTTTATTTCTATCCCACCCCTTTGGCACCCACGTCAGCTGCCCTACCACCCTAAACAGCTCTGCTGGACAGGACTCTGCAGATGCAATACGTGCAGAGCAGAAAAATCTCTGCGCTGCACCTATTGCCTCTTGATAGGACAAAAGAAAGTTCCTATGATGAGTCTTGTCAGAAAAGAGTCAAGTTTTCCTCCAGGAGCGCTCCAGTCATTGTCCAACCCACTTCATCTCCCTCAGCTTTTCCGTATGCCAAGGCTTTCAGTTAGGAGCAGGTTGGAAAGGATGCTTGGGAGCGATTGTGTTGATAGCCTTGGCAAGATCAATGTTCCAGGTATTCACCAAAGCTTCAACAGAATCACCAGCATTACCAATGTTAAGAAGAGGAAGCATTTTGCCTGCAAATAGGTAACTATAATTTTCTGATCTTTCTTCCCTGCACACTTTGTGACCAGAGGCAGCTTAGTGAAGCCTTCTCCAAACCAGCTCTTCTGTTTTGAACCACATTTCCTGTCAGCTCCAGCTGACCTGAGCAACATTCTGGAATAATGGGAGTTGTAGTCCAAAATATGAAAGTCACAAGTGGAGGAAGGCTGTCATAGTGGAAAGCTGCAGAACAAACCTATGCACATTCAAGGCTGATTCTGTTCAGAAAAGCTTATAGTGACTTAAATTAGCCTTGACTACAGTACGAGATGTCCTTTTTATTTTAATGAGATTAAACTGTGGCCAGCTTAACCTGGATACCAGTCCATGGGTTTAAGACTGTAGCTTAATCTTGAAGATCCTGCAAGTAATCTCCCTCTCTGATTCACTATTGCTGTACAGCTCTATCTACAGCTCTTACATGGAAGCATATTTCCCTGGAAGCAAGTCCCATCAAACTATCTGATAATTATCTTCTGAAAGAAACATACATAAGGTCAAACTTTAATCAGTTTTCTTACCAGGAGTAGAATTGCCTCATATCTAACAAAATAGGGAAATTCAATGGCACATTATTCCACATGGTATAATGGTTAGTTATGCTTTTGTTTCATTCATCAGACCCATTGTGCCTTTTAAAGAGAACACTGTTGATGGTTGTAGGTTTGTGCTATTATCCCAGCCATCAGAATCAACAAATTAATGGAAA